ACATGACATTAAGTCTTCATTGGGACTATTGTAACAGTTGAACGAATACAGTATAAGAAGAAAACATTCACACTGAAAATGTTAGTTTACATTACATTTTCTGAAGCAATGATTTCAATTCCCCTGAGGGCAAAGTAAGACATTTTGTTTTCTCAGTAAAGCGAAGATCAACACCAAGGTGAACTTCAACAGAATTTAAATGCTGGCTTAAATTGTTAGCAGAACAGAATAAAATATTCATCACGTCTCAGCAAAATGCCACTGGTGAAGAAACTACAAAGACACATAGCCATCGGTCACCTTGAGGCTCCTTTGAGTACAAGAAGCTGATGAGGCACGTTAAAGTCACTCTTTTCATGAAAGTGCATCTGTAGCAAAAGCAACATTTAAGTCAAAGCATTGTCAGCTGTGTGCTAATGTTGCTCACTTGAATTAATAAGGCCCCAACAAATTGAAAGCAACTTCAAAAATGAAAATTATGCCCCTAAAAAAACTAAATGAAACTGGAAGATTAAAGCCAAATGGCTTTATATTTCTGACTCTTCGCATCCTTATTTTGACTTCTTAAACTGTGACTATATTAAATTTTACTGATAAAATTTAATATAGGTAAATTAAGATAATAAAGATAAATTAAGATTATGTCATATAACAGAAATGGATGACTTCTGAATTTTAAAAAATAGAAACTGATTCCTAAAACAATAATTACCTTAAGACAATCTCTCGTGCGCTGCATGGACATCGTCTCGTAGAAAACCTCTGAAGAACCTGCGGTAACACATTTGTCATATATATATATATATATATATATATATATATATATATATATATATATATATATATATATATATATATATATATATATATATATATATATATATATATATATATATATATATATATATTTTTTTTTTTTTTTTTTCTTTTTTACAGAACTGATCAAGTTTTGTAAAAAAGAATTTCACAAATTGGAATTCTTAATTCCAATGGAATCTCTGATCAACATAGAATAATCCAATTTATATCTTACCAGCCCTAATATTTTACAATTTAAGCAAGATATTATCATCAGAATTGCATCTGCTTCCTTAAAAATAGGAATCTACTGCCAAAATTGGAATAATTCAGGTACCAATTCCAGTGTTTTTAGTATTGCTTCCTGTTGCCCAACTGTGTCCATACTGTGATAACAGACCCTATTCACTGGATGTACATCTCAGAAAAGGAATTCAAGGTGAAACTTCTTTCTGATTTTGAAGTGCAAAATGTTTGAAATAATGAATGTGAAAAAGAAGGCAAATTTTGTTCAAAAACTAAAGAACCATTCACAGCTTTTTTTTAAACCATTTTTTTTCTTCTAGGTTGAGTCATACAATGATAAACACATTCACAGATTTCCCCCTTTTTTTATATGTCAGAAAGCAGACCTGTGCTTACCACGTCTTTCTGTGGTGATGTTGCCATAGATTGGATTTTCCTGTCGCTCATGATGATTGTGGGGATTTTCCTGCTGCTCTTGATGTCTGACATTACCAAAATATTGTCCTTCGATTTGTGATAGGCTGCAATGATATGTGAAAAGACGAGTTTTACACTTTCTTTTAAATAGAAATTGGATGCATTTTGAATTTATTTGAATTTTGCACAATTAAGTCTAATTCCAAAATGAATTGAAAATAAACATACGTTTCTTCTTCTGAAGTATGTGGATGGCAGCAGTTATGTGGTTCTGGGTAAAAAAAAAATCACAATAATTCATAACACATTTTAAACAGAAAAGTCACAAAAATATGTGGGAAAGGAAACCTTTGATTTACCTTTACATGAAATGTTTCTTTGTCTTAAGCAGAAGATGATATTTAGACACACAGAGATTAGCAAGGCCAGAGACACCAAAACCAGGGCTATGATTACTAAACAGCAAACATGACATGACAAAAAAAGAAAAGAAAAACTTTAATGTGTTGAAATGAAGACTGAAATATTTGTAAATTTACATTTTCTTTCCATCTTTTTGAAGTGTCATATTGAGAACATACTTTTAAGCCTGTGACAAACACCCAACAACTGACAATTGCAGTTTAAGATTCTTCTTGACAAATTAAATAAAAAATGTCATTCTTCATTTTAGCCACTGAAAGAAATAATGCAGTGCTGATAACAATAACAATAGTTATTTCTGTACTCGGTTGTTTTCTATTTTTGTTTTTTTGTGTGTTTCTTTATCTTACTCACACGAAAAAACAAGAAGACAAGTTAAGATTCTTTCTTTAAACATCTGATTTTTATTTTGACTCTGTACATATTCCTGTGTAAGAAACAGAAAGATGTTTTATTGGCACAATTTTCTTTCTTGTTACCTTTTCTTTTGACATGTTTTTTACATTTGCTCAATTTGTGATCTGGCCTTTGCGACATTCACATTTAGGGTAAGATTTCCTTGAATTATGTATATATTATGAAAAGTATTGTGTCTTTCTGCTATACAAATTTAAAACAAGTGTTCTTACCTGACTGATCTGTCATTGTCCTTAACTAAGCTGGTTGTCTCGTTGTCACAGTTTTCCTCATTGTGTGGGGCATCACTGCGCTCCGTCGGTGAGGTATACTACACTGTCTATTTTTACCCCGCCTCTGCTCCCTCTCTGCTTTCACTGTGCTTTGAAAACTTGCTGCTTTTCAGTTACAAACAGGAAACAATGTAACCTCATTTTGAAGCAGATTGCCTCAATGCCATTTTGGGGAGTAACAATAAAATTTCATCATATCTCCTAAACTTAGTATAACATTTGTTTAACATGAAATAGAAGGAGGACATTAAAGTTAGGTTACCAAAACAGATAGTTACTGTTGTTGATGTTAAGATCAGCTGTTCAGTCAGCAAAACCTTTTTTCTTTAACTTTTATTATTCATTACATTTGCATTTTCAGGGTGAGGATGCAACTATCAGCACTTGCCCAAATTTCTTTTTCTGCAGTACAATATCACTTTACTATTGTAAAACTGCAAAGCAGTGCAGATGGTGCGTCTCAAATTTATATCTTGCATGCACAATAGCATGTGGTTTTGCAAGTGTGGTCGGAAAATCAGAAAAAAAACTGCTGTCGTGAATTTTTTCTCAATAGGAAACAGTGTGTGAATGTACACAAGGCCGTGTTAGTATTTTGTGACAACATTTGGATGAGGTTGCGAGAGTTGGGGTTGAATTTATGTAGAATAAGTTTAATTTGAATTAAATTTTAATTTTAAATGACGAAAATTAATTGCAAAAGAAGAAAAAAAACGTATGAAGTTTGATAATTTGTGGTGAATATGTTTGCTAGCCTTTATGTCCATTGTGGTTTGTGGTTTTAGCCCTGCTTTGTCAACAGACGTGTCAATTTGTGGTAGCTGTGGACAACAGTGGTCTTTGATTTTGGGCTCCTCATCTATTGGCAACAAAAACAGCTATATCAAAGAACCTCACTGGGCTTTCAGGCTGAAAATCCTCATTCATAAGTTCCATAACTGGGGACCAGGTATGCAATGTCAATGTCATTGATAAATGTGAAGTTCAAAGTTCAAAATTAACAATTGTTAAAAAACAAATATGAGAATAGATATGTAATTATAATTACACATCTATTATGTAATGATGTGTAGTAGTATGCATTACATACCACTATGTATGTATTATGTAATTCAGCTTACTCTAGACAGCTACACCACCATCACCATAACAGCCTGCACTGCATCAAACTTTACTTTGAAGTAAAATTTAGATGGACCTATTGATTGTATTTAAACATTTTGAGACCATGTCCTTAGGGCATCAACACCATCATGTTGCTCTCCAGGCTAGATCAGTAATATTTTTTTGATTTTCTGAATGATTGACAGAATGAAAGATCAGATGAGTTTATGCATATCTGACAAACTCTAAAAGATTTTAAGTTGACCACGTCGGGCCAAAAGACCAACAATTAAAATGATCGTAATTTAAAGTTCAAGATTCTGAGACTATAATTGCTGGTAAATGCAACATGAATCCAGAGAGTTGCCAATACACTCAAGAAAATATAAAGAATCTGAATGTAGGCTGTGAAAAGTTTGCTCAGTCTCTCCTCCTTGTTGCTTTTTTTTTTTGGTTTTCTTTATTAATCTGTTATTCTGTCTGGTTTACCGTTTTTAGCTTCTCTTTCCTAAATTCGTCTGTATTTCCAATCAATCAACTTTTCTTGTAGAAGAAAAGAAGAAGGAGAAGCTTCCAGTAAAACAATCAGGGTTAAAAGCTTCTTTGTGAGGATTATGCAGTTTGTGTCTCAGGAGGTATAGCATGCTAAAGCTCCAGAACCAGCGACCTTTATATATTTTCTTGTAAGTTCAGTTTTACTAGCTTGAAAAACCTGGGTGCTATTTTTCCACAGATTTTAGATTTTTTTTTCTTATAGAAACCAACAACAAAATATCTCCTCTCCAATCATTATCATAATACATTTCCACTAGCAATGGTAAGATAAAACAACATCAAGTGACCACCTGAAGCCTGATGTCTGAGTCCTTCCAACCTTAATCAAACCCATGAAGTCATTGTTTTAAAGCCTGGTTTACAGCAAGAAACCAACCAATTTCAATAAGCACTACTAATTATACCACAAAAGAAGAATAATTGCTGAATAGGACACAGTTTCTCCTCAACTGGATGTTTAACTATGTATTATAGTAGTGTTGTATGTATCTTTTGAAGCATGTTGACCATAAGTGGATAAAAAAAAATCCACTACTATTCAAACTGGCATATCTAATTCTTGTTTTTGAAATTATCAAACTTGTATGTTGTTATTGTAAACCAAGAAAACATGACATTGCAGCTAATAATAACCTTCTTACTGAAAGTAATATGAATGTGTTGATAAATGTCATGTAAAATTTATATATAAAATAACTTCACTTCTTATTCCACAACAACCACACAAGTTATTCTCAAACAAAGTACATAAACACCATAATGCATCAATAACACATTATTCACTGGGGTTTTTATTTGAATAGTAGGGACATACAAAACTTAAAACAATATTAAACGAAAGACTTGTTCTGTCTGTACAATTGCACCTTGATTGTAACATCGTATGAACACAAAATTACATTGCATTGAAGAGACAAGGAGCAGAAGAGAGAAGGCTATCTCTGGCACACTTCCAGCCATCTTTAATCTACCGTAGTCAATCATGCTGAACTCATAGAGAGTTTTTGGTTCACTCTCAGCTGAGATTATAGAGTGTATTTGTGAAAATTAACAAGGTGATATACTATCTTAGCAGGAAACCACAAAAAGTCTTCCTATTAAGATACTGTAGCTACGAGAGGGTTCTGTCACATGATTACATATATTTGCTGAGACTGTACAAGTTTTCAGTCAGCCTCATAAAGTTTTAACAGAACTTCAGAATTAGCTTGCCCATAAAGAAGGGTAAGTTAATTCCGAATGCTAAGAGAGGCTGAGGCGTGAAAGAAAAGTTCACCAAACGTGTAGACAAAAGCATATTGAACAAGAAATCTTATCTTCCTGGTTCAACTTTAACATAAAGACCTGAAGTTGTGACATCTAATGTGTATATATAAACTTTATTTTAAAGATCACTTTTGTCTTTATACTAACTGTAAACAAACTTAGTACAGCAAAACTCACCTTAAAACATACCAACTAGCTTCTATTGATCCTTGACATAATTTGTTACATCATCAGGGTTTGTAATTGATCTATTGAATAGTGTGAAGAACAATACTGCTTTCCCCCCACCTTTCAGAAATTTATAACTGTACATATGCATAAGCAAAGTGCCTTCTGGAGAAAAGCTTACAGGCAATACAATAGCTTTTATGAACACTATCAGTCAAGCATGGTGGATAGGGCTGTTTTGCTGACATAGATACCAGCACTTCACACAAGGTGGATGAATGAGATGCCAATCATTTCTTGTTTTGAAAAGAAGATGGCCTCCATGCCAGTGATGCATGTATTTAAACTTCTGACTGACACTGCACGTGTCTAACCTTTATCACTTGTTGAATATTTCATCTAAAAAGTGAGAATTTATGCCTTGTCTTTGGGATTGTGTGGTGAATATGTTAACTTAATGTAGTTTCTGGGGTTTAACCTTGCTTTACAAGTAGTATTAAAATTGGACTTCTGGCTATATACACCATATAAAATACACCAGAAGATCTCCAATGTCCTCATGACAGGAAATCCTAATTCACTGGTTATAAAGATGGGAAAACATAAATACTGTATATTTATACAGATGACAGTGGTTGGTCAATAGAGGATGCAGGAAACAAATAGAAAACAAACAAGTCTTCTAGAAGAAAACATCGAGATTTTCTACAATTTACAGGCATAAAATAAGCCCTAAAAAATGTCTCAATCAGAGTCAACATTATTTTTCTTTTATTTACAACTTTTATGAACTTACTGCATTTGATAGAATCAGCCAAAACACTAAAAGTGCAATATTCATATGTACAAAAAAAAAACTCAAAGACAAGTGGTTCATACACAACCAATAAAAACAACTATCGTGTCTTAAAAAAATATACATATTGTATTTAATCGTCTTGATACATCACAGTGTACATCTATCCCACTAATGGTGGTGGCTGTATCTCCCAATTAGGAATGTGTATTTTGACCCCATCTAGTGGATTCGGTGTGAACTACATCTGTTTTCGAAATGCGGAAGTGCTCGTTAAGAGAAGAGCAAATATTTTGACTGATAAATTCGATAAATTGTATTAATTAATAGTAATTGTGCACTAAAAATATCCAAAAACTTAACAAAAACTTTTGTATTTTTTTATTTTTTATTTTTTGGTTTGTTGCTTTTTTACAACATTGGGCAGTAATGGAATGTAATCGTAGAATTAAATATTTGAGAAATATTAAATCTGAACCAATATTCAGATATATTTGTGACAACACAATGGTTGTTGAAAGTATTGCTCTTTCATGCCTATTGGTGCAGTTACACACCCTAGATTTACAAGCAATTCCAGCTACAAGATTAAAATAATCTGTCAGCCTTTGACAGACAGGAAAACATAAATTACATTCTTTTTTTATATTTATAAAAATTTGATTTAAAACAAGGCAGCAATTCATTGCACATCACTGGTGGTGAGATATTAAGTATCTCACCACCAGTGGGAATTATAACAACAGGGCTATATTTATTTATTAATTTTGAACTAGCCCTTTAAGATTACTCAATTGCAATCAAGAGTAATTTATTTCAAGACTCTTTTCACATGCTTCCTAAAGGTGCCAAATTGGCAGTGCCAATAAATGTGATGTAGAGGGTGGAGTCTGCATGTGAGCTCATAAAAATGCACTGTCCTGCTCTAAGGAAAAAAATTCTGGCACATACGTCCACGCAGCAAAAGCACAAATATTTTCTATCTGCATGAAACACCTTTCAGCTGACCAAGACAAATACAACAGTCATTGCTGTCATAAAAAACAAGATAACATTTGTCTATCATACAAAAATTGGTCTCGTAGGAGCTGACAAAGAGTTGCACCTCGAAGTGGGGTAAAGCTGCGTCTCGCTTCGTCTTGCAGCAGTGTACTTGACAGGAGGTGGGGGAGGCTTGAATGGGGGCGGTAGGTCCATCCTGCAGGAGGAGTGTGAGAGCAAAAGTATTGATTGCCAGCATAGGTGGAGATTAATATGCATATGAGTTACAGTTCAAAATATGAGAGATGTTAGCATTTTTCATGTCTACTAAATCAGTTTGGCTGCCGGGAACTGGCGAAAGAGAAACATTTGAGTTTTACCTCTTTTTTATGAGTTGTTTCTTGTAAAGAATTACAACCACGAGAATCAATAGCAGCAACAGAACGATGATGAACACCAACAGGATACGACTCCGTTCGGTGTCTAAGGATCAGATTGCATAAATAAGAATTGGTTATTTGGAGGATACAGGCAGCTACAGAGAAATTCCTAACATAATTCTTGATCATAAAAATTGATCATCTTGCCTCCAGATTCCACTCTTCATAAATGCAACATTATATTACAAAACCTTTAGCCTTGAGGCTGAAAAGTGTTACTTGTAATCCCTTCCCACGGTTGTGCATTAATTTTGGATGGTCCGTCTAATCAGTTTTTCACCTGACAAGTAATCAAACATGAGGCTAAGAAAGTTAGAGTCTATAAAGATCCCATTATTTGGGGAATTTGTGGCTTTTTGGAGTTTATTTTTTGCGCATCTGGTTTTGCTTCAAGCATGTCTTGTTCTTGTTTTTCTGATTTTATAGTTGACCTTCTGACCTTTTAACCTGGCCTGGATAACAGCAAATCAATGTCTCCAAAGGCAAAAAGAAGAATTCAAACTTTTTAAAAACAATAGCTTGTCTCAAATAGAAAGGAAATGTAGCTACCAGCTGGAGACTTACAATAAAATAATAATGAATGACTGATTTTTAGTTTTAAAATTATATAAACAAGATTTATTGAGTATTACCTGTCTTTGTACTGGTACTGGTACTAAGGACAGTAGAAGTTGTTCCAGTACTTTCTATGCTTCCTGCTAACCCGGACTCCGTGGTGCTCATTGAGAAAATGTTCTCTGTGGACTGTCTGTTAAATCTGAATTCATTCTTCGTGACATCAGTAGCGATTCTCTGTGTTGATGTGAGCTCTGTCACGTCATCATTCAACATGCTGGAGTTTTGTAGGGGATGGGTGATTGTTTGGATGTCAGGGGATAATGGGGCACTGACAGATGTTAAAGATGCCAGAGGGGTTAAATGCCCTGAAGCAGGGACTCTAACAGTGCTGGAGCTTGGTTGAGTGGTCCATTGTGTGTCTGTTGAAAGTGTGGTGGCTAATGATATTGCAGCGCTGGTGTGCAATGAATTAGTTGGTTGCTCAGTTGACTCTGTTGGACCTGAAAGTTGGAAAAGAAGGAATAAAAATAAAAATCAATAGCTAAGATACATTAGGTTCTGTTTGTCACATGACATAGATTTTGGAAATACAGTAATAAGATATGGACCATGTGCAAACAAATAATACATACATACATAGAAACAAACAAATCCATCCATCCCTCATTACATTTGGATGGTGTCTGTCTCAGCAATCAACAGACAAGAGGGCAAGCAACCATGCACACTAACATAATGATTTTTATAGAAATGCTATTTGGCTAGGCCACTTAAACCAGAGTACAGTGAAAAACCCAAGTAGGGATATTGCTACAAAGTCACCAATTTAATGAAATCAAATATCCAGTGTGGTCAAATGGTCTTTCAGGAGAAAAGATTGTTGCAAAGTCAGTTACTTGAGGAAGGTAAACTTCCTCAAAAAAATAAAACATGCAAATAAAAAAAGCTTTTCTCAAATACTTTTTTTAAAAGACAGCTTAGTTATAAACAGAATCACCAAAGAAACAATTAACTTCCAAACAATTCATGTTAAAAATAGCTTTTTGCTATTAAGGCTTTGTCAGGTTGATCAGAATCAAGAAATATTTAATATTAATATGTGAATTCTCACTTTCCAAAGGTATGATAAATACACTATAGCATAGAGACAGTTCTTGTTCTTGTAGCCATTTTTTAAGATTGGAAAGACAAAAGGATTTGCCATTTAAGGAATAAGATGGATGCTGATCCTCTCAGTTCAGAAATTGGATACAAAAACTATACTTTCTTGCCAAAACAAGTTTAGTCAGAGCAAATCAAAACACATTTTGAAGGATGAATATTTCTGTAAGAGTGAATACCATGTTTAATAATGAAATTTTGCTTTGTCCAGAGGCAACATAACTATTATTTGTGGAGGTCTGCTGAAGGTCACGACTTAACATTTTTTGTTTCAATAGTCCATACATCAAAATGTGCAAAAAATCCAGACTGTGAATAACTTCACACTCGGTGTAACCTTTTAAGGTTGCACTAAAATCTTCTAACAAACAAACATAACACAACCCATAATCGCATGTTTAACAATGATCGATGTTTATCTGTTGTGGTGCTTAGTTGGAAAACAGTTTGGTATAGCAGTCTTCTTTGAAGCACCATTCAGTTTGTTTTAGCTTCTTCTTGCTGTACTTCTCCACTCTGACCAATAGACTGTGCTCTTGCATCACTCCGTGTTTCTGTGTTTATTTCTGTGGTTTGAACATGAAACTGAAGGCAAGGAAAGAACCATTGACATCTAGATGGTTTTCCTCTAGTTATTTATGAAACATGTATATGGAATGACATGTAGACATTTTCTTACTTGACCACAACCAACTCACAGTAGTTGTAAAATCGTATCATTAAAAGACAGATGTATTTGGGGATTAATCAAATCCTGCAACTTCTGTATCACATGAACTCAGTTTCATTTTCATGCATATCTCTTTGAATAACTGGCTGGATGAAAAACCCGTTGGGTTCTGTTTTTCTTTTTTTTTTACTTCAATATTTCTCAATCTATTCACAATTACTTTCTTGTGACCTGGATGACAGCTTTAAATCCTTTGAATCGCTATCATCCTTTTCAGCTAATTAAAATGTAAAAAATGAATAAGCTACAGCATAATAATGGAAGTTCAAGTATCAACTTTCTCATCTCGTAGAGCTTATTAAGACATTCTGTCTCTTCGGCCCAGAGTCAGATTGTTAATCCAGTGCTGAGGATCTGACAAAAATGAGTATGACACAAAGAGGCAGGTAGAAGCAAAGAAATGGGGAGGCTCACCTGTTCTTAAAATGGTGGTTATAGTCAGCACAGAAATAATAAAATCTTTCTGCAGACTTTTGTCTCCTGTGTTGACTTCCAGGTTGTAAATTCCTGCATGGGCTTCTGTCACCTCCCAGAGCTCCAGGGATTCATTGTCTGACACAAATTTGTTGTTCTATTCCAGAAATAGATAGCTTAGAACATAAAAACCCTGCTATGGAACAGTAATTTTGCATTTACACTTTATACCAGATAATTTTACACAGTACATTATACAAAGCAACACATGGGGCTGGACAAAAAATCAATAACAATATATAGGCAAGTTATCAAGATTGATTGAAAATATGTCTGGATTCAGGGTTAGTGTTCAACTAACCTAGAATGCTAAAGCCTTTGGGTTTGAGTGGCTAAACCCAAAAGTTTTAGCCACTCAACCTCTCAATGTCATTTAAGCAAGGTGGTTGACCTCAACTACGTCACTCACTCTGTGGTGTAAGGTAATTGCTCAGCAACCATTTAAGATCTTGACAACAAATGTGTACCTAATTTTTATACACTGCAGTGGAAATTCAGACAAGAACAGCCAAAAAGGGATCATGGATTGTTTTGTTCTTTTTTTTTCTATATGTTTCACTTACCTTGGTCCACATGTACTGTGCTTTGGAGTTGACTGTGCATTTAACTGTTGCGTTGTCTCCAATGTGAAGCTCAACAAGTTTCTCAGTATTGCACAATAGTTTGAGCTCATCTGGGGAGAAAATTATTAGATTAATATAAAATTTGTACAAATCAAGAATAAAGCAAAAGCCATAAAACCATTTGTCTTTACAGTCCAAGCCCACATAAAAACTGACAACATGATCTATCCTACGCTAACATAGTTATAGATTCCTCATAAAAATAATAAAAAAAACTGTTAGTGTCAGGAAAACAATAAATTTTTATGCAGAAACAGCAATTTACATTTGCTGAGATACAAACATTTTGCTTTACAAACATTTTTTTACAAATAATCAAGCAGGCTTACCTTTAACTGTTAACTTTGTTTTATTCGTAAAAGAACCTAAATGAAATGTCGAGATACCACAGATATAGATGCCACTGTCCCATTTGTTCACCAAAGGAAGGTGTAGATATGAACCAATTAACTTGTTTGCATCATTTTTCTTCTCTTGGATGGTCACATTAGGCCAAAAATGGTAAGGTCCATAATTGAGGTTATACACAGCAAGGTTTGCTCCATTACTTTTCATCCATTTAACGTTGACAATCTTGTGATCAGCAGCATCTTTCATGTAGCAAAGTAAGGTAATGTTCTGACCCACCACAGCTTCCATTGTTTCATAAACAAACAGCTCAGCATTCTCAGTTCCTGTCAAGTAGATCAAATAACATTGAAAGTAAAAAGAAAAAGAAAAGTGAGGAGACAAAAATCTATTGCATTTTAAAGCAACATAGGCTGCTGGGCACTGTGACATAGACAAATAAAGCACTTTGTTAGCGAGGTAACCTGTGACTCCAGACATCAACAGACGTTTTAAATCCAATGGTTAACATCTTACCATTGCTGATATATTAACTAGAGCACATGTTCAAGAGCACTGGATTACCTTGGAGAAAAGAAGCAAGGAGCAGAAGAGAGTAGGCTATCCCCAGTACACATCCAGCCATGTTTGTACTCATGATTACAGTCAATCACTTTGAATCCATTGAGGGAAATAGCAAAGATAGAAACGGTTCATCATCATCTAAGGTTGAAGAGCGGGTCTGACAGACTGTGGAACTGTGAACAGGATGCCCTATGTTAACAGGAAGCCACAAAAAGACGAAACGTGTTGCATGGAAACATTGAGGTCGAAACTAGTCATACACAGCAGAACTTTGCTGTTGCTCTAAATCTTTGCAGTGTTTACCGTTACTTATTGTGTGTCAGCAGGGCTAAGTAAAATATGCAAATCATAGATTTGAAAAGATTCGAGAATGGTACCAAGGGAAATCACAAACCAAACAAGACAGAAGGATCAATTAATTTTGTTTATTTACTAAACTCTATTCCTTCAAACATGCTCATTTCCCTTGTGCTGAAGTGCAATATTGTCTTGGCTTGAGTATTATCTTCCCTTTGAGCCTCTGTAATAATGTTACCTACTCTTTTTTTTGGACCACAATTATAACTGTCACCACCAGAGGACAGCGATATGAACCTAAATACTTACTCGCTCTTCAGACAGCCAATGTTGTGCCACATACTGTTGTGACGTACATGAAGTATTTTCCTTCAGTAAGGATGCCTGAAAACAACAACTTAGGACATCATTTGTAATGCAAGATAGGCTCAAACAAAAATAAAACTACATCCTTAAAATCACCATTAAATATCCTATCACATACTGAGCAAACTCAAAACAAACCCAACAACACAATGAAACAAAGAAATCTTACTTCAGCGTATTTTCTGTGCAATGTATGGCACTCAAAAGCTTTTGCACTAAACATTAGTGAGATAGCATGGAGGCCTTCCAACCTCAAAGACTTTATAACCAAAGATAAATAATCAATATTCATGTGAAAACATGCAAAATGCAGGTTAAAAATGATAAGAAAGGTCAACCTGTTTTCATTCTGATTTTGCAATGAGAATATTAATAATTTTCAAGATAATTTTGTATTTCATCTAGATGAGTCAAAAGGATAAGCATTAACTTTTATGAGATTGTCTGTCTTCACACAGCACTCACCTTCATTCATTGCAATGAGTCGCTTCCGACCAAACACTGCTTGATCATTTTGAAGTCATGTAATATGTCTGACCTTTATCACTTACTATATATTAGGGCTAAGAAGAGCGAGTGTCATCTAATAGATTTCTATCAGTATTCTGCCAGGGTTTAGAGAAAGACCTTGTTGCTCTGCTCCATTAGATAAGGGCAATGTCACTTCCACTGGGAGTCGTTGCATTCTCAAAAATTTCTAACAGGAGGTACTATTACTCAGACTGTTTCATTCAGTTGTCCAGCAGAAATCCTGATAACAAGATATACAGCTTTGTATCAACTGGCTTAGTATCTGAAAAATCCCATTTCATTTCTCATAACAAACAAAGTAATGTGGAGATTATTCTCACAATTTATTGCATAATGACAGGCTAATTAGTCCTTTTTGTTTTAGCTTTATTCCTTGCTTTATGTGCTGTGAAAGTAAGAGCGAGAGTAAGAGGGTACTCAGACCATCCTCCACACATTTGCAGGTAATTGTTAAACACTGAATTCATGCAGGCTAGTCTCGAGGGCTCCCAGGTACCCCTGAGAGCTGCTGCAAATTAGACTTTGAGAAGCGTTTTACATGAGAACACAGACTGCCAACCCTGAGTAAAGGTATTTAGGTAAGTGTGAAAAAATTTGGTGTATATTTGCACGTCGTCTGACCTCAAGGGGGTATGTAAGCTGCATAATGTGTTCACACATTGTCCATGGCTTGTTCTGACAGATTTGGTGCTGCTACAAACATCCTGCAGTGAGAGTCTTAAGGTGGGTGCATCATTTGGATGCACCCACATTTGGAGGTAACTGTCTTACATCTTGGATGGATATTAGTATGGCAGCCAGGCAATATTGTGTGCGTGTTAGATTTAAACAAGTGGATGAGGCTGGTAAATTTCCAGGAAGGTATTCTTGAGATGATTAGATTTAAAGAAGTATTTTTTTGAAATAACAAAAATAAGTTTTAAAGAATTGGCTAGTGAACGCTGAGGTTTCTCCGGAGGTAACATGAGCTGAGTTCCAAATCATTGTGTTGTACTCTGGTGATTTTTTCCCCCTCTGTTTTATTATTTTAATTGACTTAACCCCCTTCTAAATTAGTGATTGTATATTTTTTGCCAGGGGTTCTGTCCAACCTTGAGCCTAATAAACTCTACGTTTACCGAAGTAATTTGGTTTGTCTAGCATGTTTTCAGCAAAATTCAATGTGCTTTACAAGATTAGAAGGGAAATAAAATAAAAAACATGTTTTTTGCTGGAGTCGTTTTTACAAATCAACACATTAGATTACAACAATGTAAAAGTGATTCACTATACCATATTAAATTGTAGCAAAGTTATGATATTTAACATTCACTTTTTAACTAGGCTCAGCTCTGTTGTAAATCTGTAAACCAATGACCCAGAGCTACATACAAATACAAACAAGCAAACTGTTTTCCCAGATCGTTGTGGTGAAAATGTTTTCATGCACAAGTTGCAGACTTAAGAAAAAAAAATCAGTATTTGAGTTCATTACTTAACCTTATCTACTGTTCTGCCTCTCAGCCATTTTCCAGAAAAAACAAAAAAAAAAAAAAATAGTGTTTTCACAGTTAGGCATCGTTTTTGTAAATGCAGATAGACAGTGTAACTACATACAACCCTCAAGGAAAGAATTGCAAGTTATGCATTATATTGCACTGTTTCATATTATTTGTCAATGCAACATAGTGTTGGAGGAAGTCTGACAAGCTCATTTCACAGAAGAATAGTAAATGTAATAGTAAATAGTAAAAAGAACAATAGTAAATGTTCAATGAACTTCACTATGTGCTCATTGGATACATAACTGTTTGTGAGTTGATGGACTCCTGACTCTAAAAGTTAATCACAAACCATTAATTTGAGATTATGAAATTACTGGAATTAAGGTTTTTAATTCAATTTGTGGAATTGGTTAAAGGGATAAGAACAGGTACATTCAATTATTATTTTTATTTCATGTTCATGTATTTTTTGTTCATGTATTTTTTTTTTGTCAATTCCATTGCAATTAGTAAAGGTGTGATAATGCATCCAGCTAAAGTGATGAGATGATGCCCAGCATTTGGCTCAAAACAAGAAAAAACAAAATTTTATACTGCTGGAAAAACTCAAAACTCAAAATCATGTTCAGAATCTCAAAATACTGATTTAGGGAATGTATAATCACTGTAAAATGATTCACTCCCATTTTCTGGGAGTGAATCTTGTCTGTCACTGTATTGCTGTGCCTTTTTTTTTTTTTTTTTTTTTTTTTACTGGGTAGCCAAAATGCTTTCAGGCAAACAATTTAAAGGTGGTTGGGGGTTCTTCAATGTTTCTCCAACCCATTGTTGTCAGTCACCTCATTAGCATTTTTTATCAGTTGACTTCTTCATATGTAACACGACAACAAAAAATTATTTCTTTCTTTCTGACTTAAAAATAAGAGTGCTAAATATGGTAAAGTTTCACTGGAGCGTGAAACTGATTACCAGATTGTCCAAGCTTGGCTTCTGTAATCAAGCTCTATCCTTGCTATGATGTAAGTGTTTGAGTTAGTTACATTTTTTTCTGTGCTATGTTGATCTTGTTATTACTAACCTACCTGTGCGCCATCATCGACAATACCATCAACTTCATAAATTCCAAAACAATTACCTAATCACTGCATGAACAGGACATAGGAGAGAGATCTATTTCCAGATCTGTTTTGTTATCATTGCCCCAACAGATCTTGAAAAGCCTATTTAGTAAAAGTATGCTATATATTCAAACTCTAATAAGTGAGCACTTTATACACGTCCCATGGATCACATCTTTATTCTCTGAGAGAAGATGCTTTCCCATGACAGTCAGCACTGGCATGCATGTTGTAGAGGTTATGGCACAGAGTGAGCAAAAGAGACCTGTCTGTCTCCCAAATCACATCCAAGATGTCTTTACGTTGGTGGGCAACTGACAAACATGTTCAGGAAGTAGTTTGCTTTCCCAGTGTTTGATTTAAATTCAGAATGCATCTGTCAAGCTGTCAGATGAAACCTGTCGTTGCATTTCCTAATGAAAGACGAGGAACAGCTAACAAGGTGTATGTTTACTGCATGATCCTCAGAGTTGTTTGAATACATGACATATTTTACAATATTTTTATGTGTGTGAGGCCCTTTCTGATTGAAAGTACATAGGTGATGGCTTATATTACATACTTTTACTACTATTTGAAATTTTAAGAAATTGTTTGCTGGTCCAAAGTATGAAGAAACTTTTAAATCAAATCAAATCAAATCAAATTTTATTTGTATAGCACATTTCAGCAAGGCATTTCAAAGTGCTTTACATCATAAACACAAGAACACAAAGTCATGCAACATATAATAGACAATACATTGTTACATATTACATTTCAAAAACAATTCTAAACAGGTGTGCTTTTAATTGAGATTTGAAGGAAGTCAGGGTTTCCGCTGTTTTACAGTTTTCTGGAAGTTTGTTCCAAATTTTTGGTGCATAGATGCTGAAAGCTGCTTCTCCTCTCTTGATTCTGGTTCTGGGGATGCAAAGCAGACCAGAACCAGAAGACCTGAGAGGTCTGGAAGGTTGATACAATAACAGCAGATCTTTGATATATTGTGGTGCTAAACCATTCAGTGATTTGTAAACTAACAACAGTATTTTAAAGTCTATTCTTTGAGCTACAGGGAGCCAGTGGAGGGACTTTAAAACTGGTGTTATGTCTCTATCTTCCTGGTTTTAGTGAGAACGCGAGCAGCAGCGTTCTAGATCAACTGCAGCTGTTTGATTGATTTATTGGACAGGCCGGTGAAGACGCTGTTGCAATGATCAATACGACTAAAGATAAACGCATGAATGAGTTTCTCTAGATCTGGCTGAGACATTAGTCCTCTAATCCTGGAGATGTTCTTCAGGTGATAGAAGGCTGACTTATTTATTGATGTATAAATTTCTATTAACAACTTCACACTTTAAAAAAAAA